AGTTCAGGTTTTCCGCCTTCCCACCCCAAAATTTCAACATGGATGAGTGGTTCTTTGTGGAGAGGAATATTAGCGGACAAATGAACACACTAAACTGCCAGTTGTGCCTGGGGACGCCCAGAAATTTTCTCATTTTGTGACATTTTGTGAAAAGTGGTGGCCTCTGTGTGAACTTCGTGAGCGGGAGATTGTTTGGGACTTTTGGGGAGACAGTTGTTTTAGTAAAGCCTGATCTGAGTCTTTTTGCATACTCACTAATTATTCTTTCCAGTGGTTATATCCCCAAACTCAGATTACTCAAGTATCCTTGGTGGTGGTGGCAGTGACTCTATCTCTGTGAACCCATGCAGGATGAGGTGGTTAGCGGTCACCTGTTGAGGTACCCTGCATCCCTCGGTCTGGGAATCGCCTTCTGACCACCATTCCCACTGAATTTCACCTGTCATGGCACTCCCTGTTCCCCATGTTTTATCATTTATTAATAAGGCGTCCATGTGGGCAGCAGGTCCTTCTGTTTTTCTTGCTCAACATGGAGAATTGTTTTAATAGTGGGGAAATTTATGCGAATCCTGTGACTACAATATTTTCTGATGTTATTTAAATTCTGCATCGTGCACTGACGTGGCAGACTCTTGCATCTATACATACATGACTGAGCTCTCACTGGGAGTAGGGACAATTTGGCATGCTTAATTAGGAAGATCTCTGCCCAGGCACCTAGAAATGTGCTGGCAATGTCGCTGGATGTGTGGTGTTACTCTTTTTCTTAAGGCTTCCACAGCCTCCAGAGGATGAGGAAGATTTTGAGGAGTATGAAGGCCTGCCATGGATAGATCCGCACTCGGCAATTTATTGGCTGATGCATGGTACAGTTTTGTCTGTGAAGTGGAACTATTGCAGAATCAGAAGATGCTACAAAGACAAGAAGACAGTGTAAGCCAGAAGAAAAAATGGGCCCCTCTATGATTAGGATCAAGGGAAAGCAATCATTCATGTCCTTTGTATGCGGGCATTCCAGCTTTGTCGGAACAGTGTGAAAGAGCATGATGGAGAAATGCTGAGAGGGTGGAGAAGCAACTGAGGCCAGAGGAGATGGAAACAAGAGTTATAAAATATAAGATAGTGTATAGGATTTGCAAAGCTTACAGGATTCAATACACAGAAGTCTCTGTGTTTTCTGATGATGGCAAATACAGGAGTGTGCCAGAGAATATGAAATGTGAGAAGGAGAGGAGGAGATGGCTGCAGCACTTTTGAGCCCTCAGATTGAAAGGCTAAAGCTCTAAGTAAGCTATAAAAAAAAAGTCAATTCTACCAAAAAGAGGAAAAAAGGGAGTTACCCAAGAACTGAAATTTCATCAGTAATCCAGAGGAATAACCTCTGAAATTATACCAAAGGAGAATATCGTTGCGTTACGCATCTTTCCTTCCTTGCCTTTTTTTTTCTCCATTTGTTTTTATTCTTCCCAACATGATCTTAGGGCACACCAACACAGCTACACTTGCACCACAGCTGAGATCCAAAGTTTAAGTTTTTCCTGCCTCTCAGCCCAGTAATCTGGTGAACCTTCCAAGTCTGGCCATAAGGCGTAGTCTGACACCCAGCCAAGTTAACAGTGAAGTCACAGCCCTTGCTTTTAGGTGGTTCTCTGTTTGGTGACTTACTGCATGGCTTTTTTCAAGCAAAGATAGAGATTAGTGATGAAAATACTTACTGGAGAGCAAAGAAGAGAGAGAGACATATGTATGATGCAGCAAGCCATGCTTCCTCCCTTCATTTGATTTCAAGGCACACAACTCGAGACAAACTTTTTTAATGTGCAGTCCTGAAATTCAGCTCCTGAACCAGAAGTGGCTTCATATAAAAAAACAAAAATCACTGAGTACTTGCAAGTCCCCTTGAAGTCCACAGGATTTATGCCTGCATAGCATTTCTATGCATTGGATTGCTTTAATTTTAATGCTCAAGTAAGGATTCTGGAGTGTACCTTTATGCACCTAGGTATGTAAAATATGGACCTGCAGATTTTTATATTGACTTTACGAGCAATTGTCCCTGAATCGCTTATTGGATACCAAGTATATTTATTTTACGCTGTCCCCACATTTTCAGTCTGTATGATCAGGTTTTTGTATTGACAGAGTCTAAAGGGATCATCAAAGTTTATCAGGGATGCAGCCAGTTGGAGTCAGCTGAAGCACTGTGAACCAGAGGAGAGAGTTTAATGCAATCAGGCGGTGTGTTCCTGCAGACACAATCATCAGTAAATAAATTAAGTGTTGACCTTTAAATTGTAATCTTCAGGTTAGACGCTTGCTCACACTCAGCTTCTCTTGTGAAATTTACATTTTGCTATATTTGAACGCAGTTCCCTGTCTCTGAGGAGGTCTAAGCTCAGAAACTGATATCTTGAGTGACTGCAGGAGGCTGGACAGCCTGACATTATCTTGTTACACTGAATAAATGGGCACTCTCAGGCTTTCCCTCATGGACATGATACTTCTAGACCTGCCAGTTTGTCCCTACCATGCTTTTTCTGGCTCCACTGGAGATGCTTTTTACTTGTAGAGTGGAGGGGAGAGTAGTGAGACCTTCTCCATTCGCACAGTACTTCTTCCATATGTCCATTTTCAGTGTCATGTTGAAAATCCTGCCTTCCCAAGGTTATGTTATGAGTTGGCCCATGATACTCTCGTCAGAAGGGTTTACTGGGCTTCTGACAGGGAGAATGAAAACAAGATTAATGCAAGTTCACAGAGCAGCTTCATGGCTAGGGGTAAATATCCATGAACAGTGGCATGACATACTATGTACCTGAAAGCATCTCACTCTGAATAAACAAATACTTTAGGTGGAGATCTATGAGTTTATTGGGTGCACCACTACCTTGGAAGGACCAAGAGAGACTTCAGCACCGTTGTACTTAAACCTGTCAGGCTCACCGAGTTTAGACTCAAATGCTCCACAGCATGAGATGAGCAGTTCGCGGTCAGGATAATCAGAGTTGCAGTTGGCTTTGTGATTAGCTTTTGGGGGGTGGGTGAGCGGAGGGTAGTTACTCTGATTTATAGTGGCATTTGCTGGTTCCTCGCTGGTCCAGTGTTCAATGAACATGGCTGTAGTGCTATATCCCTCCCTATTTCTCTGTTTCTTGGCTCCTGGCCATGTTGCTAGCCATTCCTATGGCATTCCCCTTTCTTTTGGCCTTTAAAACATTTAAATTTTCTGTAAAAATCTCCTTTTAACATCTCAAGGAAGAATGAGATTCTGTGGATCTTGGTTCTACGTGTAGTGCTAAAGACAAATGTGAGGTTGGCATTTTTCCTTTTGCTCTTCTACGCAGACAGAAGTATTCAAATCATACCAAGACCCAGGAGCTGAAATGTATCTGGCAGTATTTTCAAAAGAGTTCAGAACTGAGAAATTCCCATTTAGGTAGCTAAATTTGGTTTTCCAGTCTCTCAGCTCGTGTTCAGTTACTCTGGTATTTTGGAGAGCTGGTTGTGTGGGATTATCTCCTATCATTACCCCCAGTGTTTCATCGTGTAGGTAATCTGCACAGAGACTCGGCAGGCTGGAAGGAAAAAGCCAGATTTTGCAAAGTGTTCAGAATCCAAATGTTGCCTGAGAGAATAATAGGAGGATTAAAACAGAAAACAACAGAAGTTTTTGGGTTTTTTTTTTTTAGTTGTCTAAGCAGGAGCAGTGTACATTTTAAAGTGTGGCTTATATGGTTTAGACCAAAGGCTTTAGAAAATCTGGCCTGCTAATGATAAACCTGAGCTTGATTACAATCTCATATGCAAGGGGAGAAGGCTTTTTGGAAGTAATACAATTTGTCTTGCATTACTGCCCTGCCTTGAGCATTATGCTACAAAAAAGCAAGTCTGAAGCCAAGGCAATGGGTGTTATTCTTGTGGCTTCTATTACCACTCACCAAGCTGTTGGTCACAATTTTGCACAGCAAACTGTGCACATGTGCCTACTGGCAAGCATGCCTAATACATTCCTGTGCTCAGACTCTTGAAAGGCTTTGTGCTTTCCTAGGAAAAGAAAAGAAAGGGGAAAAAAAACCAACCACTCATGGAATTTCAGCTGAAAGCGTGTAGTTGTGTGATAATATTTTGCAGGTTTCCTGTTTAATTTGTTCAATGTGTTGAGCTTCCATGCAGATTAACTATACAATCAAACACTGAGGGTGAGGAGATTGCTCTGCTTTGCCAAACTCACCGAAGTCCACAGAGAAGAAGTTATCTCCAGTCATACATTATCAGTGAGTCTTTTGCAGAGAGAATATGGAAATGCGTGTTCCTTATCTGCAATGATATTATGCAGGACAGCAGACATACATTTCTGAAAAAATTGCTAACAAAATGACAGATATTCAAGCCATCTTAATAAGCAGAGATCTAACATCTTGCATGTTTTTGCCTGTTAAACCCTTCCAACAGTGCGGGACTTTTGCTGACACAAGTGCTCCGCTGCTTTGTGAGGGCTCGTCACAGCGTGACAGCCCTCTCTCACTGTTATCGCCCCTGTTGCTTTCTTAGAAAGTCTGTCAAACCAGGGGAGGTCAGTGGGTCACAGAGAGAGGTCCTGACCGGGGAGTGTGAAAAGCTTGGGATTAAACGTGGGTGCCTCTCTGTGTGTCTAATTGACTCTTAAAGTGTGAGGGCCTCCCGGGTTTCGGCACAGGGAATACAGACAAAGTGGATCCCACCGCTCCTTTCATTCAAGCAGCGCCGCTTTCGGGGTGCTTCCACGCTTAGTTTCCACTGTTTCTCTTTGGGATTTGTCTGTTTTCTTTGCTACCTGGCCCTTGTCATTCTGTGATGGATGGCACGTGTAAGGGCTCCGCTGCCGCCGTACCAGAGCTGCTCACAACGGCACTGCCCAAAACGGGACCCGCAGGAGATGCTGCGAGGCTCCCTTCCATCTTCACAATACATTTTGACCGAGTCATCCTGTCCAGGATGGCACCTCCATCCATGCGTAGGAGATGCAGAAAGTGTTTTCCTTGCCCTTTCTCGTCATTCCTGTCCGCAGCAGCGAGCGCTGGGCAGAAGCCTCGCTGGCGGCGGGAGCGGTGCTGCGTGACAGGCGCAGCAAGGAGCGGTGGAAAGGAGCCAAGCTGGCAGGAGATGCCGTGGGGACAAAGGCGTAGAGAGGAGAGGGGAGGGAGGTGTCAGGGGGAGCAATGTCTGGTTATCATTATAAGCATTTTTTCCTCCTTTAAAAGCATTTTTACCCCTGAGAGAAGCTCCTGTCTTACCAGCACCGGAGAAATTGGCACAGACTGTGACGAAAGTCAACGACCTCTTGCAACAGTGGAAGCTGTAGCTGTTCTCGATCCAAGCAAACAATGCTGTAGTTTTATCAGCACGAGCTTTCTCATATGCCTGGCAGGTCCGATTAACTTTTGCAAAACTGCAGCTGAAAGGAAACAAACATAGTGTAAATGAAAAGGAGGGAAAAAAAAAAAGAAGAAACAATCTCTTTTCTGTAATGTCTGTGAACAGCTTTTACTGCTTTCCCTGGAGAGCCTGCATGCTTGGACAGCAAGTTACTGTGAATTAGTAAGGGTCACTGCCATTGATTAAATCCTCTTTTATGTTTCCTGGTAACTCCTGAATTATGGCAAGAGTTGAGCATATTAATTTAGCACTTTTTTTTTTCCATTGACAGTTCTGATGGAGGAAAAAAATCTGCAAGTCATTTTGAACAGATAATATTGAATTAAAATAAAATTCAGTAACAAAATGGCATCTCCCTTTTATTCCCAGTTTCACACTGCTACATTGACGGGAAAATCAATAACCAGTTGAAGTCTTAAGCACGAAAATTTTGGTCCTTGCAATTGTGGTTATTCTCTTAATTTAAGATATGGAATAGGACTATAATAAGTGAAATATGGTAAAATAAGGAATATCGCCTTTTTATTTCACACTTATGCAGCTCCTTTTCTTACATAGTGACAAAAGACTATAACCTTAACTCTTTAATGACAGATAGAAACTATAACCACAAACCTCAGTAGTAAGGCTCTTAATTAATACTAATTATTTTTGTTGGAAAATTTGAAGATTCATATTTTTCAAAAATTCTTTCTCTCTTTTGGGTAAATGCCTGAATATTTACACGTCTGCTTATGTAAATGCATGTATATATACAAATACACACACACACTCTCATTAAAGTATATATATTTAAACATATTGGTTTCAGAATGGTGTGTGGGCATTTGTTTTTCAGAACGCAAAAATTGTTTTGGTAGCATTTTGGGAACGCACTGGAATTTCCAAAATTATCCTGGGGTGGGGTTGGAAAATGGAAACCAACATATGAGAAGACATTTTGGGGGAGATTTCTTTCTGGTCATGAAATCCTGGGCCTTACCTGATCCGTCCCAGTGCCACCCTGACACATGTGCCTACCCCATGTGTAAAACCTCCATGGACGCCCTCCCCAGAGAAGGTCTCCCTCTCAGGCGTTTTGCTGATGTCTAGCCTAAGACTCTCTGCCAGGGACTTGTTTTCCACACCAGCAGAGACGCTGGTGGAAGAAGTTGTCACCTTCCTCTTAATCGCAAGTTTTTTAATTATTGAAGGCTCTGTTCCTATCCTGTCTTCTGCTGGTGGCCCAGCAGGTGCCACCTCATTTGCTCTTTCACTGCAGACCACATTTTCCCAACAACCGTTGTTTATGCTGCTCTGCTCTGGGCTCAGTTTCCAGGAAAATCAGGCTTTCCTTGGTTTCCCTGGGCTTTCCTGGGATCAGGAAGGTTGCCTCACATGTGGGACAGGCCATGCTGCTATCTGCAGCAGGCAACTGGTTATTGGACTTGTGTGTATCCGGTTCTTTATACATGCCTCTCGTAATTACAGCCGTGATGGTGCTGCTTGGGTTTTGTGTGTCGGGAATAACAATTAAGGGCAATTGACATCAGCAAGTCTCCACAAACACACAAGTAACAGATACCAAAATGTAATCAAGCATGTTCCAGGTTGTTAAAACATTTTCTTGTACAGGACCATATTGGAGACCTGTTGGTGTCCCGATAAACACTCCTAATCTGCATGTTATGGAGAGTCATTTGGCCATACTGGCCGTTTGTTTCCTTGGACAATATTACAGCTGTTCAAGAAACAAAACACACTGCAGCTAGAGATGCTGCGTGGGAATACTGGCTCCCCGGAGGTACAGACCAACAACGGGGCACAGCTGAGCCAGGTTGGACTCGCAAGCTATCACCCATCAGCTGACCAGCTGTAGCTCCCCGTATTAGCGCTCCCCGGCTGTGGGGCAAAGGTGTTATCTTAAGCCCCAGGGAAAGTAAGGTTAAACTAGGAGTTTTATCTCAATACTGGAGCATGGTAGAGGCTGGTTTACAGCTAACCCATGGGATCAAATGAAGCGTGGTGTCTCACAGAGGGACTGCATCTTCTTGTGAAGGCTGTGCTCAAAGATCAGTACTGGTTGTGAAATATTAGATGTCTTTAACTTAGAAAGCCCTAAATGGTTTGAGATTTACTCACACAAGAAACACTATTGCTACAACACAGTAGAAATTGAGATGCATCAGCTGGAGCCCTTCAGTGTGTGGGAGCCATTGGCTGAGCATTTTCAATGCAGTGTCCCCTTCTGGGTCCAAAATACCCTTAATTGATATTGATTCTCTTGATGGGCTTCCAAGCCTGTCGTCTGTTGCCTCGGGGAAAGGATATGGCCAAGCTGAGGTTTGAGGTAGGGGTATAATGTGGGTTATAATGTTTGGCTGGAGCAAAAGCCTTTCCCTCAGATTAGGGAATCTGTTGAGCTTATATTTATGCTTTTAGCTCCCTGACACATCAGTTGCACCTGGAGCAACTGGATAGCCACTGACCCATACCAATCAAAATAAATAAAGCAGCAAGACACCCTCCCTTTCCCTTTCTGTATTACCTACCAAGGCTGCCTGCCACAGCACGCTGTCTTGTGTTTAGGTGCACACGATCAATTAAGTGTTGTTAGTGCTTCATACTGTATTCTGAAGCAGCACTTCTCGCTAAGGCTGTGTATGGCTTGCACATTGTAAGACCCACATAGGAGGACTCCAAAGGGCGAAACTTGGCTGTCATTAAATGTGTCCTTATGCTTTCAGGATGTAACACACAAATGATCCTTATTTTTCAGAATAAAGAAGAAGCGTTGCTAGTCCGGTTGGGGTTTTGCTCTCTGTGGCTTGCCTAGCTCAACTTGATTTAGTGCTGTTTTCCCTTCTGAGGACAGTCTAATCACCAGCACATTCTTTTATTTCTTTAGCGGTGCCTCCCAAATTGAAGGACATGAAAAACCAAGAGGCTGCTGTGGGTCAGAAGCTAGTGCTAAGGTGTGAAACCACTTCAGAGTACCCTGCGCTCAGATTCAAATGGTTAAAGAATGGAAAGGAAATAACCAAAAAAAACAAACCGGAAAATATCAAGATCCCCAAAAAACAAAAGTAAGTATGGAGACATTTCTCAGAAGCGAGGTTGGGAGGGATGGGGAGAGCTGTTCACTAGAACACAAATGTTGAGGTTGTTAACTGCAGTATCAGAAAGCTAAAAGCTGTGAGTTACAGAGGAAGAAAATGTAAGGAAACAGTCACTGACATTTTTTTTCTTGAACGTATGGATGAAGTGGTAGTATGGTATAAATATTTCATAAATAATTTTCCCTTTTCAATTTCTATTTATTTTCTGATAGCCAAAGGCTATAATTTTAACCAGTAAACCTTGGAGCCAGGCCATTTTTAAACTACTGACAGGAACAGAGGTACCTTATGTTTATTGTCTAAAATCCAAGAACATTTAAAATCATCAAAGCAATGTAGATTTGGAAATATTTTTGAGATTTGCTTTGCAAGCAATCTAGCCCTTAAGAAGGGCTGAATGCTGCCTGCATTAGCTTCGAATGCCATATGCAAGATTGCAGTAGTCCTTTACCAGAGACATTTCTGCACATGCAGAACAAGGCATGGGTCTAGCAGATGTCAGATGAGTAGCAAAGCTTGCAAATCTCATCCTCCTGGCTGGGGGAAAGTGTCCCCTACATGTGACTGATGACTAGTGCCAAAAGATGGTCTGGTGCCTTGTTTCTCGGGGGAAGGAGAAGATACACAATGCATTTTCTGCATTGAGACAGGAGAAGGCTTTTGCTGTTTGGTCTCTACCTTGTTGTTTAAAAAGGTTAAAAAGTTTCAGTTGTGGCCAGTCATCTGTCAAAGGAAGCTATGAAAATCTGTTTGAACACAGCCCTTCAACTCTCACTTCTGCTCTCAGTAGGCAGGGCTGCTGTCTGCTGCACTGGGCCATGCCTTCCCTTCGTACAAGGCACAGAGGATTTGGGGTGGGCTCTGCAAGAGATGTTTCCTTCCAGTGCGTCAAGTGCCCTCATACTTTTTGTCATGTCTGATCTCATTAGGCAAAACAGCAGCCAAAATCAAACAGGTGCTTCACCTTTCAGAGTTATTCAGGTTGAAAACCAGATGTCCTGCCCTCCCTTGCAGTTTCTTGCACCCCAGCCTGGGGCACAAGGTGAAACAAGGAGGGGGGCAGAACAGCATCACTGCAGCCCCCATGCCACGGTTGCACAGACAGCAAGAAGGAACCTGTGATGTCTCGTTCCAGCATTTGTGAAATGGAGCTGTTCCAGGTGGCAGATAGCCTGGCAAATTGTCTGGACCCATTTGTAGGGCCATATGTCTTCGTCAGAGTTGTATTTTCAGTCTATTCTGTAAAGAAAATGTTCAGGTCAGAGCCTGACCCTCAGCTTCCCCAGCAACACAGTGCTGCCTGTGAGGGGCAAACAGCATTTTCTCCTCTTATGTTTTGGCTGATGCTGATTGACCAAACTCACTGGAGCCAAGAATTCACCTTCTGGGGCTGGGCTTTGTCAGTTCAGCATTGAATCAGTAACCGCCTTCTGCCAACTGCCTTCTTTCTCGTTTTTTTTTTCCCCACAAAACTTTGAGGAGCTGGCAGAAGGGAAACTAGCTGATAGCTATTGATTAGAGCATGCATGTGGAAAGTGTGAGACTATTTTTCGGGTTGATGTGCCAAAACATGTTTAAAATTCCCCAAAAGATACATAATGAAAAAAAATTAAAATTGGCCCTTTTTCTGGAAAATGGAAACCTGAACTCCTATTCCCCCACTGTAAGTGGGCAGAGTGCAGGCTTTGATCTGGATTTCACACTTCTGTGTGTTACCCCAGCCACAAGGGTATCACTCATCGCTGAATTTCTCTCTTCTATTTCCTGTTTTAAAACAGAGATGTCGGTGTGGAAAAGAGAAGCCCTTCCAGTTAGAGATGTGGAAGTCACTAGATGTAGAGTACAAGAAGGGGAAGGACAAGGGATGTCTGCTGACATCTGAAGGATTTTCCTTGCCTTTCTACTTTGAGATTTTAGTTTGGGGACACATTAGTGCTTTGCCATTGTTTCTTTTGCTGGTTATGTGTGCTGCTTCCAGGACTGAGTAGATGTGAACAGCTTACAGGGAGATAGATTTTATTTTTATAAAAAGTGGGACAAGCACGTGTTCTAAAGCTAAAGGAAAATGAAGAAAAATGCAGTGCAAATGAATGCATAAAAAGACATGTAGATTACAGTAAGCAAAACCACATTAAAAAGATCCCATCACATATGAAAGGAATATCAATGATCAAGCAGTTTTTCCCCCACTTATTTTCTGTGGGTTTTTTTCATGACAGGACATTTATAAGTGTTCTTCATGTTCATATGCTGCCATATTGTTACAACAAGCATTTTAGTGTGAATTTTTCACTATTACCAAGTGTGGGAAACGTGAACTAGGAAGGCTAGAGTAGTTGTTGAGCTGTCTGGGATTAATGTCTATTTTAAAGGTCAAATGGCTACATAAAATGTCGGCTATGTTTCTGAAGAACCATTAGCGTGCAGGATACCACAGTCTTATTGACGCCTTCAATCCAAACACTTGAGAATAACACTTTCTACATATTTATAAAAACCTCACAAAGTTTCTATGTAGTGCCCAATGGCCAGAAGTGACCAGTAATGTCATATTTTGCAAGAAATCACCTTTACTGTTGTGATGGCAGAATAAAATCTGTTCATTGTTAGGAGAAAAGTAAGTGTTTCTGAGTTCTGGCTATTTAGCTTTAGGTTTTTTAACAAATTGCAAAAATATCTAGCAGAATGATGAAGTGTCTAGCTCAGAAATTGAAAATGAAGACCTTAGCTTGGCACCTGGAGTAGGCATGGAAAAGATAATACTGCAGCTTGGTATTTATTTGGTACATTTGGCCAGTGTGAATATTACTGGTTCAAAGGATTTGCAGAAGTGGGGCAGATTCTGACTGTGTTTTCCTAGTTTTTTAAGAGTTTAGAAGACTCTGTGGCAATGCAGGTTTCGTCAAAGCTTAGCCTTCTGAAGACTGCCTTGCAAGTAAAATGACCTCGGGGGATCACTCCTCTAAGCTTGCTAGGGTGATTTCAGGGTGGTTGATTCAGAGGGCACAGAGCCCTGACATGCGATGACATTGCAGTACAGCAGGTGAATTTAATGACTAAATGACTGTGCCCCTTCTCATTACACTGGAAAGTCAAGAGAAACTGAATAGTTTAAATTTTAATGAAAGGCATTTAAAGCACTCACTTTCTACCTCAAATTTGTCATGGAGTGAGAGCATGCAGTCAGTGAGTTTCTCATGCTCTTATGATTGCTGATAGTTCTTGATGCCATGATTGATTGATTTGTGTGTCCAAGCTCTTAGCTATTCCTATGTGTCAACGGAGATACAGAAAAAATCAGGCACCAGACAAGGGCTTTTCACCTGCTAGCTAACTTTCCCATGCCTGTCCACTTGTACTGGTAACAGTTAATTTTCTGTCTCTGATTTCAATCCCGGGTGAAGCCTGCACATTTTTGTTTTGGGTAGTGTGCTGTACAGAGTCAGACTCTCTTCATTACATGAGGAGAGACTCCTTTATCAGGGTTGGGTTTTTGAGCAGAGGGAAGGTGTTTGCAACTTCACCTAGCTGATGGCTTTGGATGCAATAGTGCATGAGAAAACTTTGTGTGCAAGTGCCCTGTACTTTGGGCTTCATCCAAGCTTAGCCTGGATATTTGCCCGCAGACAGGCAATTCTGGATGACAGATGGAGGCTGGAAGCAAAATGAATTCAAGCAGTCAGATAAGGTGGGCTGGGACTGCATTCTGCGGATGTATTTTTTTCCCTTTCATGTATGAATACAAGCTCAGCAGTGTCATAGTGGCAATGAGCTAAAGGTATAACAAAAGCAAATCTTATAGGGAGAGGCATTTTTTAGTGTAGCATGGTATAGATTGAGAAAAGGACAAGCATTTGAATACAAAACCCCTTAACAGGGGCTTTAAGTGAGTACTGTTGGAGTACTATATTGCTAGGGAGCTGCTTCATTTATAGCCATTAATAAGTCATCCTCTGCTCTGGCTGTTGAATTCAGTCCTGATATGTTTTGATCATATTCTTAAGGCTATAAATATTTGTATTATTTTCCTGCTCTCAGAGAGAAAACTCGTTACAGAGTTTTTCTAAAAACGAGAGTAAATTTGGCTTGTTAGAAGTAGATTTGTAAGAAATATGGTTGCTTCACCTATTTTAATATAATCTTAAAATCATAAAAGGAAGACACACTTACTCGCCTTTTCCCGTAGGTATCATGTTAAACAAAGAGAATAAAAATAAATGTTCAGAGCAAAAAGTTTCTTCTTCTAAGAGCCAAGAGTGCCACAAAGGTGGTTTGCATCAATATTACTTAATATCATACAGAGAGGAAAAGAGATTGCAGCAGACGTACAGTGGGTACCCAAATAAAAGTGATATAGCTGCAGCTGTGCTTCTTGCTTATCATTGGGTTAAAGTGAGTTCCTCAAAAAACTGAGCCTGTTTACATTGCCTTTTGAAGCACCCTGAGGCTACAGGCTGCTCTCCATCTAGATAAACGTCTGCAAGCATGGCTGAAAGATAACCTGTGGGACGTAGGAAATATCGCATATCCACGCAGGCTGTTAGGCGATGTAGACTACTGCCAGATGTTTCTGGACAGGCCCTCAACAGGCTGTTACAACGGCAGGTGTGTAGATGGCTGTCAGGAAAATTAGAGAGCAGGCCATTTTTAGTGTGGTGTAAGTATAGCTGTTAGTCAGGTGCAAAGTTCCCATCCAAAGAGACAGTAGCCTTCACCTTCTGGACACTTCTGTCAGTGTCTTAACCACGTTTTTCTCATATATTCATAGTTGCCACCAGCTAGAGTCTGTTCTTGCATGCTGTCTGAAATGCAGCCCAGTTAATTAATTCCGCATTGGGAACTGGGCTCCTAACATTGCCTGAGAAGGGAGCCCTAATAGTCAGCTATTCAGTTGTTTACCATTTGAGCAAACCTGAGCAAATTGCTCATCCTTCTTGCAAGCCCAGTGGCCTCAAGAAAGCAGCCCTCTTTCATGACATGAGGGGAAACTCTTGTAATGTGGGTTTCTACCAGAGCTGGGGTCCACCTAGCACACTGCGCTCATCCCATGAGGGCCCCAGTGCTGACTCCTCAGTGGTAGGATCTTCGCATAGAGGCAGAGAAGGCTGAGCTGCCGATAAGCAGATGTTTGATGGCAGATGGCATAGTTTACTGCGCTGGAGGGAGGGATGGCTCACAAGGATGCATTGGAAAGTGGCATTGAACATTTTGGTTCATCCAGAAACCCCCCTGCTACAATAGTCTTGTTTCTGGTCCGAACCCAGCCCTGCTCAGTTGTTCCTGGAAGTTGTGATTTCTGCACAGAGAGGTAGGAGATGCGGCTGTGCTAAAGCAAAGCAACTCCCCAAACATCGCTTAGCTCAGCACTCATCGCTAGACATGCTGGTGACTACAAGCTTTTAGAGTGAAGAACCGCTGCCTCCTGGGGATCAGTCCTTCAAGTTGGGGTAGGCCAACTTAGGGAAGCCAATGCTTATGCACACTAAGTGACTATTCTGTAGATAAATGAGCAGGCTTTGCTACAGGCAAAAATTTCCCAAAGCACTTCTTTTAAGCAGAAACTGGGAACAGCAATAATGTGTGTGTTTTCCCCAAGCCAGTAATTCTCTGCAGTCTAGGTAATGGGATTATTGCCATCACATGAGTTGGGGACCCCTTCAATGACACCAGAACATGTTCCTACCAAATTAATGGGTAGGCAGGAGTTCTGCATTTTAAAATCTAATCTTAAAACCTTGGAGACTGATTAAATTACATCTCTGAGCCAGGAACAAAATGTAGCTTCATGCAAATTGTGCTCCTGCCCATAATTTTTTGTTAGCGCTGGAGAATGATTTACTATTGGGGTTTCAGAGGTTGTTAAAGAGAGTGGTGTGTCCTAATCTCATGATTATTTAGTCAGATGTTGGAAACTACAGTACTTACCCAGAACTCTGCTACTGGCAATATATGAACCTGTAGGAAAGGGTAATCTATTATAATATTACACCCATCTCTGTGGCATCTGGATAGCCAGCAATTCAGCTGAGAGAAGAAGGTTGTTTTTCAGATTTGCTTTGAGAACAAAGACTCCTCTCAAGCAGAAAAGCATAAACAAGTATTTTCGTTTGAGTTCATTAATATGCCTGTTTTCCAGCAGCCTGTAAGGGAGATATTTTTTTATTCTTTTCCCTTCTTTCAAACCTGGATAGTGTTAATCAATAAGTCAGTAAGAATGGAAGACAAGACTCTTTGTTAAGAGGAAAAAAAAAGAGTGCGTTAGTTGATGCAGTGACTCTTACTCCAGTACAGGATGTTTACATGTTTTTTCTGATTTCACAGGAAATACTCTGAGCTTCACATTTACAGAGCCACCTTGGCCGACGCTGGGGAATATGCGTGCAGAGTGAGCAGCAAACTAGGGAATGACAGTACTAAAGCCAGTGTTATCATCACGGACACCAATGGTAAGGCTTGGCTCTTTATTTTACTGTCACGTTGAGAAAGACCATGTATTAAAGCTGCCACCAGGACAAAAGGGTTTGGAGGAGAGGAAAGCTTTGCAAGTGAAGTAGAAACACTGAAATCTATTAGGTGTGCTAATAGAAAATTAATCAGGCCTGACTTGTCTGCTCTGTAGTTGAGATGTTTGGTTTTCCTTACCCAGACAAACGGAATACCTCCTATGGATCTCAGTAGAGATCAGCATTTTCTGTGAGACACTTTCCAACACCAAGTCTGAGACATGGTCTAAACAGTCAGGATAAGAAGGGGATGAAGGGAACGGAATATTATTCTAATTCCCATAGTACACAAGTAGCGGAGGCACTATAGGCCTGTGGGGAAGCTTTCATTTAACGTAAAACATGTCCTAGTCTGAACTTCTAAACCAGCTCTCCTCTCTTTGCCTTTAAGTAATATTTGTATTGCTCTGATTGCCATCATTTTTACTTTCACAGGTGTTGGTAAGTGTTTCTTTTGATTTCTAAAATAATAAAGACAAAGGCGTGAATGTATTTGAAGGTATATTATTCAATGGCATGAATGTAATTCAGGTGCTTTAATTCAGGTACTGTGATTTAAACTTATTTCTTGAGGAGCAGAGCCTCTCATGAGGCAGATAGCATTCAGACTTACCCAAATGATTTAAAATTATTATAGATTGCTATTTTTGCAGGGCTCCTTTCCATTTCATTCACAGGAAGTTCCAATTGCTTCTGATGGAATTTCATGGATGTTTCCATTGTACACAAATGTTTTAGCAGTACTGTTTCTCCTTGCAAGTGCACTGGAGGTTGCAGTTCAGCTGAAACCGTGTTTCTTAAGTGTGACATTAACTAATTCACCTCCAATAATTCAAACTCCAGTGTCCAGCCAGTTGTGAAGTATCTGAGGAATATGCCTTCATTAGCAAACAAAGCAGAAGTTCTATGCGTATCTCAGGTGGGTTTAAAGTTGTTGTTGCAATGGGAATTTACCAGGGATGCTTTTCTGTTCCACATTGTGCTCTGAAACAGGAGATAGGCATTTAAATAAATAGAAAAACAAACGTAAACCTTTGCCAGTGGGATTTGTCTTTGGCTATCTGCTGTTCTGTAGTCACACGGCGATTGCTTGACTGTATTCACTTCGTGTATTTGCTATTCTATTTCATCAACTAAATAATCTCAAGTACTAAGATTTCATACTAGCTGTATGGTATGATAATCACGATCAGACGTCAGGAGACTGATATAAAAGATCAAGTGTTATTTACCAAAATGTTATTAGGAGGAAAAATGGGTAGGTGTTTCTGTGTAGCTTTGTAAATGCTCTTGGTTTCCATGAATACAAATTTTGGCTGCTCATTAACTGCTTACATGGAAAGCTCCTATACTGTTTTCAAGATATTGGAGTTTCCAAAACGCAGCTGTAGGCACTGTGCCTGGGCAATGATACAGATAAATGCAAAAAAATGCTTGGGCATCCTCTATTACTTTCTCAGACAAGGAATGGTGACATGGCTGGGGAGTGCATGTGGGACCTCATTCCAGGGCTTCATGACATGGATTTTTCAACTTCCTTTGGGCTGTGCTGAATGACAGCAAAACACTCCTACTGCAGGGAGATGGGAGCTTGGTTTTGAATGAAAACATTTTCAGGCAAGCGCTGTTATGTGCATTTATAACTAATATGTTAGAATTTGTCTAATCTTGTTGTGAAACGTAAGTTGTTTAAAACAGAGCCGTGCATGCAAACTCCCTTGAATGCGAGCAAACTTGGATCCAGTCTAAACCTGGCAGCTGTCTCTTGTCTGTAAAGATCTGAACTGGAAACTCAGTGATATCTAACTGGAACATCTCAGTGATATTTGATGATCTAGAATCAGCCATGGCAACATTCGTTGGATGCATAAATCAATCATGCATATTTGGTTGCCACACATACAACTGAGTCCCCTCTGCTTATTGTTCCTTATAAATTACCAGTGAAATTGTTCCTAATTTTCTACTAATGGTGGAATTTTCCACCTGGATTTGAGGAACAGCATGGGCAACATCTGGTGACTTAAGAGCAATGGATCTCTAAGGCCTCAGAGGGCAACATCTGCTTTGCAAACAGGGACAGACCCCCTGCGGGGGTGACCTCCTCACCCCTTCTTCCCCCGCATTCCCTGACCTCTTCCCCTTGCTAGCTTAATGACAGATTTGGGATCCAAAAGCGGTAATGAGCCCTGAAGGGCAGTCATTACTCAGGTCCTATATATCTGTGTGGTCCTGCACTATTCATAAGAAAGAGAGAGGTGTTTTTTTTTAAAAAAAGCGGCATATTTAGCTCTTATTTATTATTTCCTGCCAATGGGCTATTGGAGAAGACTTTGGGGTCCAGTGCAGCCCAGGAGCCCCTGTAGAAAACTAGTGTGTGGACATCTGAGAGGGCTGAACCTCTCAGGGTAGGCAGAGAAGTTACTTCTTTCCACCACCAGCAGATAGGGCAACAGTGGGATAAAGAAAGATGCGTCAGAGGGCCTGACTTTCTTGTGGTCGTACTGACCTGCTCTGCTATGTGAACCATAACTTTAATTATGACCTTTAATTTAATGACCTCACCTGGTCATGTTTGTTACGTGTGCCCTACTATCTGCAGACTAGATCCTCTTTTCCCTTTATGCTGGATGCTTTAAGACCGAGGGTAGATAGGGTGATGGCATTTCTGGGCATGGGCTTATTTTTCTTTCCACTACAAGATTAGTGCTTTTCAGTATAAAAATCTAGGTTTTAATTCCCTAAAGTTTTGTCAAACTTTAACTATTTTAGCTGAAATTTTCTTTGCTGGTGTATGCCACAAAAGAGAACTCTAGGGCCAGACCAAAGATCTATCTAGCATGATGCCTTGTCTCTAACATCAACTAGCAATGGGCATTAGGAAAAAACACATGAAGAACAAGGCAAATGTGTTGGGTTTTTTCCCCAAGAATAGGAAAAGCCACACCTTTACCACTAAGGTCACATGTCTGAAAATTGCTAATTTCAATTCCCTGCTCCAAAGCATAGAGAAACAAGTATTTCTCAATAAAACAATTGTAAAAATTTCTTTGTGGTTTTCAGTGAGCAAAGAGCTTTATTTTTCCCTGATCTCATTCCCAGAAATGGTAACATTTACTGTCTTAAACGGTAACAGTCAATGCAATAGTAACTCCTGTCCTTGTTGCTGTTACTGTGACTATTAACATTGCTGTTACTGAGAACTGCCAAATATGCTCTCGTGCAAGTTTTTGCTACACATAAACACACACACAACACATACACACTGTATTAACCTACACAGACTTTTCAATTTTCTCATTGTTACTGAAAGAAACATAAAGCCTTGTCTATAGAGCCATATGTGTGGATTTAAAAATGCAACAAATACAAAAATAGGTAGGCAAACACTATTTTTTACCAGTTTTAATAGCAAGCAGTGGGAGCTATCCTGTTCTTTTTTAAATTTATAACGAGTATAACTTGCCCACAGGATATGAGCTGCCTTCTTATTTTCATTCACTCCTATTCATGTATGCTCCCCTAAGAAAGATTGTAATTGAGGTCAGAATAGAGGCATGAAGTTCTCCTGGAGTTGTGTAAATAGTGCATAGATTTGCTAATGCAATAGTAACTGCTTTTTTGCATCCTAATTTGTCCCTTTAGCCAGGCAAAATTCTTGCAGTGAATTTTTTCATGGAATTCCTCATGAACATAAGATCTTACTACGCTTAATAAATAACACTGGGAGAATACTTCATACCACAGCCAAAGCTTTCAATTTCATGTTTGAAAACTTGCTCACAAAACCCCTTATTTAGACAACTAGGTAAGTGACCTTGTTTTCTAAGGTGTTGAGCACGCCACAGCTCCAGCTGAATGCCATGTCAGTCTTTTCCATTAAAACCTGTTGACCTAAATCTTTTACCTCCCTAAGGATATTTGCTGTGCCCAGCATGACTCAGGGTGCAAAAGGGTGGATTCCTGCAAAGATATTCCAGAAGTTAGCAGTCTCCGGTGCTGGATAACTGCTGGGTTGTGTGCAGGGTATTGTGTGAGTGCTCATCCTGCATGTCTGTGCAGAGTGAGTTGACGTAATTTGAGTCATCAGTGGGGATGGCTGGGACAACTTTGCCTGAATTGAAGGGAGCGAGAGGTGACCTGTTCATGTAACTCAACTGTAGGCAGAGGTAAGACTTGGTAAATTAGCTACACAGTCAGTGCAAGCCTCTGGTTTTGCATCCGTAGGACTTGCAGTGGTACTAACAGCTCTGAGTTGTACAGAAGTCAGTAAGAATCTGATATTCGTCATTCATTAAATTTTAGTTTGCTGTTCCTCTTCTGAAGGTAGATGGTAGCTTATATTCAAGAAGATGACAGAGAAATAAGTAAATAAAAACAACATCTTGCATCTAGTACCTGTAGAGCATGTGGCCAACTATGAAATAACTTCAAATGCAAGAAAAGTCCCTTCTACCCATATATTAATCTCTCTGAGACTTGATTAAAGCAGGAGATCAGTGTATCTCTTCTCCCTCTAGCATAGTGACAGGTGACCTGGGCCATAGTTTGTTTTTAACTGGCTGGTGTAATGGGTCAGATTCTCAACTGGTGGAAATCAGCATGCCTGGACCAATGTCACTGATTTGGGCCTCCACATAGAAAGATATGTAGTCATCACTCAGTTTGGCTTAGCAATTCCCCTAAGAGTAGCTTTGAACCTTTCCTTGCAATTTGACATATTTGAATTGAGGGCGGTGCTCTTTTAATCCAATTCAGGGCAGTAGTTTCTTGGAGGACCAGAAAAAAGGTAAAAGGCACAGTAGTTTTGAGAAACAAAAAGTTTATCCATTGGATCTCTCTGTGACCTTGACCACATGTGCCTGCATGCCTCTGAGGTCTCAGACTATGGCCTTACTCATCTTCTACACACCTACTCCCTACTCTGCCATCTGTAGACCGAG